AACAAAACAAAACGGAAACGCGTTCGTATCGAAATGAGAGACGCGCACTGTTAGACAAGCGATGGCTTTAATTTGTCGGATGTGGCGTGTCTCTATTTGTAAGCCGGTCTTTCGTTCGGCGCATGCAGAGAAAAAAGACGGATCAGAAGAGGACACTGATATGTCTAGAAATTAGTTAAGGTTGATTTAACGAAAACAGTTGGATCACTCAGTTAACGAACCGCCGGCATCTCGTAAGTTGAGAGTTCGGCGGGGTGTGTTCTTTATTCTGTCTCTACGACCGTTAGTTAGTTAGTGGTGGGCGCGCAATCAGTCATGTTATTCGAGGTGGTCATTGAGCACTAGTACATATTATTGAAGAGGAAGTTGATCATGAAATGAAAACTGAATACGCTTTTGAAACTAAATCTACGCGTGAATGTTGGACTGTAGACTTACCCAATGCAACGTATATAATAAGTCTACCCTACCCCACCAGATAGATTTCCGTCGAGCTGTCTTCAGTTATATACTGCGTGTTACGCAGTGTATAAATTCCTCTTAATTCCATCTGTTTCACAGTGTTTGAGACTACGCGTAAACATCATTGATTGATTTGTGGGGTTTAACGTCCCAAAACCACCATTTGATTATGAGAGACGCCGTAGTGGAGGGCTCCGGAAATTTAGACCACCTGGGGTTCTTTTAACGTGCACCCAAATCTGAGCACACGGGCCTCGACATTTCCACCTCCATCGGAAATGCAGCCGCCGCAACCGGGATTTGAACCCGCGACCTGCGGGTCAGCAGCCGAGTACCTTAGCCACTAGACCACCGCGGCGGGGCTACGCGTAAACATCAGTTACTGCATTCACTATTTTAACAATATTTTCAACATCACCAACTGGTGATGTTTTAAATAATAGTGCATTTATTTTTTTTTAGATCGTTAATTAGTCAGGGAAGAGTTCGATCTACTATGATAATGTTTAGAAATATATTTCTTTCTATTTGTTTTCAGTAAATAAATGAAATAAGAAAGCTAGAAACCAACAAGCTTACAATGTTGGACTGGTTATCGCCTCCACAAATTTGCATACGCGGCCAAACACTTGGACGGTACGGCGACACGTTACAGCAATGATGTCTTCAAATTAAGCATCATCTGCTAATACCAGTTGAAAACACGCCAAAAAATCTCAACTTTTATCTCCCACACATCGCAATCTTTATTAATCAATTTTTAGCGTTCTCTAACGCAAAGACCAATGTATCAGAAAGCATGCCCGTATCTCACTTCGATATTGCAATTTGGTTGATCTTCAGCACGTCATTTCCAAAATGCATCTTCAGAAGAAGACGTTGCTTCCTACGGAAAACGTTGGGCTGAACGCAAGTTTAATAACGTTCATTTGCCTCACTATATAATCTAAGCACACAGCAAAGTCGAAGGACGAGGAAAAGTTGGCTAACACACTTTACGCTTTACTCATGCCATACTTAGGCCGTAAATGAACTCTCGTCTAGATCAATTTCATACAGCCTTGGCAACAAGTACAATTGTTGAACAAACTTGTCTTCGTGATAAGACAAACTAGGTATTACATATATTCCATGTTAAAACTAGCACATTTTTCTTCCTTGTCATTATTCAGATTTCGTTATTAAGGCAATTCGTATACGTGGCCAAAAGGGCATAAAAACTTCAAGCAAAAAAAAGAGACAAAAATATTGCGACAACAGGACATGCGTGAGCGCACGACACAAATGTTCTCACCAGTTCGCCCAACGGTAAAATTGTTCAAGTGGAAGTGTCAAACACATTCCTTATAGGTAACAAACAATGCACTCGATAAATAGTCCTCGTTAGGTTGCGTATACGAAATGCACATATTTTATTTCGTTATTTTCTAGCAGGCCTCTTTGTAAAAGCCTTAACGAACCCACTACACGGTTTTACACTGTTGAAGAATGATTGGAACGAGCCGTAAAGTAACGCGCTGACTAGAGTAAACGTGATGGTTTCAAAATATCAACTAGCCTACCGGGGCAGTCATTATTTCGCAGGTTTCAGCTACTTTGAACATTCTTATTTTCTCGAAAATAAAGTGAACTAGCTTTCGACGCTCATTGCAGCTTTTCTTGCTTATTGAATAAGCGCAACTTAGGCATCGACAAGTTCGCGCCTCGACCGACCTTCGAAATCGGAAGTTTTGCGAGCCTGCGAAAACAAATTGCGAATTGTTGGCTTATTGTACACACTGCTGTCAGGTCAAAGCCTTAAGAACTGAAGCTTTCGCATTGAGATTTAGGTTTGGTGCTAGGGGTTTCTTGCCATAAACAGATTTGAATCGGTAGTTGAAAGTTCAGACAACGAAATATGACCTGAGCTTACAAAATGTCGGCCCAAGTTAGGTTATTCAATCATGATGAAACAAGTGCCAAAAAGTAACAAGACCTAGAAAGAACACAGGACGTGTGCTTATACCAACATGTCCAACTGCCAGTCATTTTAGTGAGCTAATGAGTTGTTGCCCTCACGATGCATCACGGGAAGGCTTCATCGACCGAAAGGCAGCCAAACTAGCGTTTAAATCAACAAGCTATATGTGCTGTCGAACTCATCTGTATGTTGTGTTAAACAAAAAACCTGGAAAAAATATTATTTCTTTTTTGTGATGTCTTACGTACAGAGCAAACTAAGTGTGCTAAAGAAATAAACTTATAGACAAGAACGTAGTCAGACGGGCTTGAATAATACTCTCATGAAAAAAAGAAGAAAACGAGACCTTGAGACTAAATTCTCTTTCGTTTTATAGCACGTTTCATCCCTCGCAAGATGCCACTAGTGATGCGAGTTTTGCGTGAGTAAAGAAGGAATACGTCAAATGATATTACCTCATGCCTAAGTTTCTTCAGCTGTAGATGACTCGGCATTTCCACAAAATTTTCGTTATTTTCGTTTCGGTATACGTCGACAAGGTACTGGGACTGGTCCCCCCTTCTCCTATAATAATACAAAAAAAACGACATACCCAACCAAGAGCACTCGTTCTCTCAGTGTTTTCGTTATGCGCTGCAAAGTAAAATTTTCGCAAGAACTGGTCCAGCATTGGTTAGCTTTCCAGCCATAACAACACTTTTCGAGTGCGCGCGCTGAATGCCTCATTATATGAAAAACAACCAATGACGAAAGTTTCGCGTTTCGACACCCGTAATGACTGCCGCGAAACTAGTCGCATCTCTTTGGCACAGATCACTGCTGGCCAATGCAGCAACTTGCAAAACATTTTCAGCGCTTAAACTCGAATAAGAGATGCAGAGAGCGAAGCTCGAGGTTGTTTGCGCAGATTTGTCACGAAAACACGAATACTGGTTATGTTAGAACATATTGCCGCGACATATCGCCTGCATTCAAACAACGCGCCCATCACCACGCGCACAGGGACATACATGTGCGCCGTCTAGTGTTGCGCAGAGACGATGATGATAGCACGAGAACCCAGCTGGCCCCGGCTGATGAGCGCCACGCGCTTGGGACTCCTCGGGAAGAAGTAGAAGAAGAAGACATCTTCGGTGTTCTGTTGTAACGTGCTACGACCATAGTCCCTTTCAGTTGTGGGCACAAATTCGCCCTTTAATAAATGCGTTTTATGACACTCCGAGTCCCTCAACACCGTTACAATATGAACGTTACACCAATGCGTGCATAGTCTGAATACCACATGTAGCGGCCAGGATCGCCCACTTCAACAACTGGCCTCGCAAAATTTTAGAAATAGCGATGCCGTAATAATACCAAGCGTAGTCATAGAACATGCTGCGTCCTTGTCCTTAAACGCAAGCGTCAAGTGGCAAGTTGGGCTTGTCGGTACATCATTCTAGTGCACGACAGCGCAGAAAACGCACAACGGACGAAACACGAACGACGACGCATTTCATTCGTTGTGTTGGTTTTGCACAGTAGTGCTTCAGAGCGAAGGGGGTGCTTTGCCGCAGTTTTCTTAATGTGCAGAGTCCAACGCCGTAATAATATCCAAACATAGCAAAAGAAAAATGTCAACACTGAAACTAACTTGTGGCTAACGCGAGGTCGCAGCTGCACATTGCACGGCCCCGCGCTCTACTTAGATCTAAACAAGCGTGATTAAGACTGTACACACCAAAAGTTTTTTTTTTCCGAATTATATATATAGAGAAAGAATTATATAGAGAATATATAGAGAAATATATAGAGAAATATATTTAGAGAAACGAAAAAATGCGTTCTCGAGGTGGTTTCCCGCCATTCACAGAAACGTGCACCAACGTTTTTCGCGGGCTCGGTAAGCGTCGGCAAGCGATCGCTTTTTCCCGACCCCCACCTGACGCGAATAGCCGCGCACGGCGGTTCTTTTGTAAAAAGCCGCCGCAGACCATGCGGCGCCAATGGCACGCCAGCGACAGCTGTCCCGAGTTTTACGGCGGCGTGCATTCATAAGAAGAAAAAAAAGCAATAATGCACGCGCACCGGTCCAAAGGAAGCCGTAGTACACAGACCCCTTCAGCTGCGGCACGCGGAAGAGCTGCTGCGCCGATGCACACAACACAGCACGCGCCGCTGCTCTGGACGACGAAGTCGTGCGTTGCGATGCGAATATCGTGGTGCAAAAAAGAACGCTTATGCGTGTGCAGCCGGCATCGTGAGTTTATGAGACGGCTAGGCTTGAACATCGGATTTCCCTGAAATTTGTGATGATGTATTTTTCGGTCGAACATGTGAGTGTTTTTTTTTTTTTCAGAACAGGCCGGTAGTTAAACACAAGGCCGCCTGCCGGAACACCGGCAATATTCTTTTTCTCAACCCTTGTGGTGCCTATCCTTCTGATGCTGACTGTAAGCTAAATAAAAAAAAGGTGACGCTAACAGGAAGCGTACTCGGCAAGTGCTGAGAAACCTCCAAGCTCAAGGAAAGCGGGGCCGGGAGATTCAATAACAAACAAATAAAATAAATAAAAGTGATAAAGTTGATGAAAACTCACGCAGGTGAGACGAAGATGCGACGCTCGGGACTAGTAGGCACAGGACGACGATTAAGTACCGAATCCACGAATGCTCGACACAAACACTGGTCGTCTCCGGAGTTGGTGACGAGGTCGGCACAGTGCATCCCGTTCGAGTAGGACGACGACAACGTTGCGGCAGCAGCGCTTGCGAAAAGGCAGCCAAGGCTGCCATCGTGGTGGTGTCGGACACTTTTCCGCACAACTTGCGCGCGCTCGTTCTTCAGGAGCGCGCGGCAAGAAAGACGCGTTATCTATCCCGGCAAAAAAATGCGCATCACACGCGCACGCGCCACCCGCTGAGTTTACGGTGGGTGAGCCAGTGGAGTCGAAAAACACGATCACGCACTCGAAGACAGAAGAATTTTTTCCCTCTCTCTATCGGAGAGATAAGAAAGAGAAACACACACTACGGGTCTTCGAAAAAAGCCGCGCACGACGCACACTTATTGAAAGAGGGGCCGTTCCGACCCGAACGCGGGCTACGCTGCCACTACTGACAGCGCAGTTTCGGCGGCGTGCGAGGATGCGAGCGCGGCCGCGCGAGGCGCTGCCGCCCGTCCCATCACACGCGCTTCGTAGTGCGCGCTTCGCGCGCATGCGTAGTGGAGGAAAACAAAGTCGCGTCCTCGTCGGTCGGCCGGCCGCGGACGCCTGGGAGTAGAGCGGGCCCCTCTCATCCCGCGACGGGCCGCTTTTTGCGAGCAGCAGCAGCAGCGGAACACGCGAACCGAGCAGAGACTCCCTCGGAGCTGCCGCTGCTTTTCTGCGAACTTACTTCACAGCTCCAGGGCGCGCCCTCAAGCTCGTTGTAGAAAGAAGGGACAAACGAAAGCGGCTCCCTGAGTCACGCGAAGTATAAGCTCGGAGGAGCCGGAGAGGCGGGCCGTGGGCTATAAATACGCCGGTGAACGTTTAGGAGAAAGAATTGGGAGGGGGTGGGGGTGAAGAAGCAAGGAAGGGGAAAGGATGAGTTGCCGACTGTCGTACGAGAACGACGAACCATTGATGGTTCCATTGATGATCCGCAAAACCATTCCTCCCGCAGCCAGAATTCGGGAACCGGGACGATAATGGAAGAATCGGAAGGGGGTGAAAAAGTGAAGAAACGCCCTGACAGAACCGAGGCGGTACAGGAAATTCAAAATTATGTATCGCAAAGAGATCTGTTCTTCATATTTGTGGTCGTATAATATTTCTGCTGCGCTAGTGTCACCTATTTACAGTAAATTCCCGTTTACATTTTCACGAGCTTCTTTGGAGATAACTGATTGAGATACAGAGACGTACCTCTCTCCCCCCTTTATTTATCTTTCTAACTTTTCTCAACATCTCTATATTTGTTCAGCACTTGTTCCGGAACGTGAGCAGGTGATCGTGTACATTCTTCGTGTGTTGAAGGAAATAACTTTGGGTTTCACTCAAGAAGGCGCCGATGTCCACAATACCAGCATTAATTATCGTAAATATTTTACATACGTCAGTTTTTCCTCTCCCTAACTGAGAGGTATGGGTGTCACTAGTCTCGTTAATTAGGGAGGCGACCGTGGGCTAATTCCAAGGGCTGAAGTATTGGCCCCCCGAACTGCCCGACGAAAGCACGGACAGTTTACATGTGGTCCTATTTCGCGCACCAGTGGATGTCAGCTGTGGTCCAAAGAACGAGTCAGAGCCGAGAGTTCACAACAAACAAAAATATATTCGCAAATATGGCAGATTAAACAATACAAAAATATGCACACTCGGCAATAGTCCAATAAAGCACGTCTCGACTCAAACAATGGGCTAGAAAACACGATGGGCTTCACTCAAAACAACGGGCACAAACAACGACAAGTGCTACAATACAATCACATGCATTAAAAACCAACACACTGAAAGATTAAAAAGTTCGTCATTTGCTCAGTCCAAAGTTCTTGGAACAAAGTTTGAATGACACTCTTCCAGGAATAACTCACTGAAAGTCCAGCGCTGTCGTCATTCCGCTGCCCTCGAAGTCTCCTTCAGGAAACCTGGCGTCTTCAAATGTCTGCACTCCAAGCACCAAATTTCTTCGCCGGTAACACGTCGGCCTCTCACGCGCTGCGGCTGGAAAACGCGTCTTTGCCCACTGGTGATAATCACAAACTCTTTTTTTGCTTGTAGCACAGCGTTCACCCCTCAGGTGCAAAACCTCTTCATCTCAATTTCTTTGTCCCTGAGGGTAAAAGCCTTCGCCTGACGGCAGAATAACATTACGCACACTGGCGCAAGCTCTCCCTCTTTCCCCTAATCACCACTCTCCGCTGCTCACTTAAATACCTTAGCGCTAGGTTCTAGACGTTTCTAATCGTTTCGTCAGCGCATTGCAGAGCCAAGGCTAAGGAAAGGGTGACACGTTTCGAGAACTCTACCCCGACTCATGACACAACTAGGGAGTAACTCACTCGAAGTCCAGTGTTGTCGTTCCGCTGCCCCCAATGTTTTTTTTTTTTCAGGAAACCTCGCATCTTCAAATGTCCGCACTCAAAGCACCAAACTTCTTCGCCGTTAATACGTTGGCCTCTCACGCGCTGCGGCTGCAAAACGCGTCTTCGCTCATTGGCGGTAAGCACACACTCTTCTTCTACTTGTAGCACAAGCCTTCACCCCGCTGGTGGGAAAGATCTTAATCTCAACTGCTTTGTCACTGAGGGCAAAAGCCTTCGCCCGACGGTGGAAGAACTCTATGCACTCTGGCGCAAACTTTCTCTTCTTCCCCTGATCACCATTCTCCGCTGCTCGCTTAAATACCTTCGCGTTAGGTTCGAGACGTTTATAATAGTTTCGTCGGCGCGCTGCAAAGCCAAGGCTGGGGAAAGGGCGACACGTTTTGAGAACTCTCCCCCGACTCATGACGCAACTAGTGAGTGACTCACGCTTTCCTTCTCGATGCTTAGGGTATTCGCTCGGCAATAGGTGCGAGGAGGTTGGTCAGACGCTTTCGCGGGGGCGGAACGGCGTGCCCAAGGAGTCCTTTGACGCTTGTTTTCTTTTACTTTGACCTTGACGCGACAATCTGGCGCCTGGTATTTGTCACCGTGACCAGAATTCGGTGGCTCGCGCCTCCTTGAGTGCTCATTTGTGACACTACCTCCCAACTTTAAAAATATTATCTCATAATATCCCAAACCACATAAATGAGCGCGAACAGAAAGCTACATTACAAAAGTCCCACATACAGAGTCTAGCGCTCATGGCACACCACATTTGCAATAGCACACTCCATACAATTCACATTGCAATTCAATATCACAACACATAGAATGTAACCAAAGGTACACGTTTACAAACTCCACACACATTTCAATAATAAAAGCGAACGAGGGTCTACTTTCGCAACACTTGTACAATAATATCGATCGCATCACGTCACTGCAGCTGACACTTAGGCTCACTCGACATACACGACACAGGACAACGACAGAACACATTGAGGATCAACACTGCTAAACTTTTTCCAATTCAACCTCAGCACCCATTCTGTGTACTTCGAGCTGCGCTTACGCCCTTTCTTGCGGTGCTCACTTGATCTTTTCCTATTTTTCTTCATTTTGTTCTGGCGAGCCCTTTCAATCGACGGTATCTGAGCCGGTCACTGCTATCAGTAGCGCTTTCGGCACTTCTGAGGCGTCGTCACGTTCGGCCGATCTTGGCTGATTATTCGACATCTTTTGTGCACGCCGCGACGTTAAGCCTGACCGACTGATTTCGTCACCATTTCACACTTTTTTTGCTTGAAGTCGTTTTGCTGCAGCTTCAACAGCAACGCATATTTTCTTCTCCGACATGATGGCCCCATGACTGCCCTTCCTATGCACCGCGGCTTCATCCAGGGCTCGGGAGAAATCCTTCACGGGATGCTCCTCCACTCTACCTCGTGGTCCCGGTGTCGGTGAATCTTCGGGTCTTGCCCCTAACGTTCTGAATTATTCGGCCCTCACGATCAATCGATGTTTTCGATGATAAGGTCGTACAGGGGGTCGTCATACATAGGACAGTAACCTTCCCACTGAAGTGCGTGGTTTTAACTTCAACCTCAGCTTCGGGAAGCATCCAAACCGAACCATCTATCAGGAAGACCGGCTTAGTTCTGCCTGTTAGCTTGCTTCTCCACAGCAAAATTTCCCGCACAGTAACAGAGGAACTTCCCGTGTTTCTCAACACTATAATTTTCTCGCCCGAAACTTTCCCAGTCAGCGTTGGCATTCCCTTCTTAGCACCTGTTGGCCGTTTCGTCAAGACAGCACCTACAATAGACAGTTTCTTCCTATTTTTCAATTACACAAATCCATCGGTGACCTCATTATTATCAGCTTTTGGTGCTGCATGTACACAGGCTACTTGATGGGTTTTGCTCGCTTCGTTTCGACATTCGTCTACCTTGTGCCCTGTCTGACCAAATTTTAAACCTTTTACATCAGTGGCACTCGTAAATTGTGTTCGACAACTGTTAGCGCAATGACCAACTCGGTAAGAAAGAAAACATCATGTAATACTCTCAAGTGCACGCTTCTATCTTCAGGTGCCGATTTTCTCGAATATTCGGGACACTCCTTTTTAACCTTGGCCAAGTTTGCTCCACCTTGTGCTTCCAAGAATTGATCGCCCCCATTCAAGCTTATGTTCAAGTGCCTTAGCTCTCCTCTCTTTCAAGTACAGTGACCGGCTCGGGTGGCAACTGGTCAGCAATTGCTCTCTAATAAGGAACTGTCTAAGCTAATCATACTCCTGTGCTGTCCCTGAAAGCTCAATCCATCCGACAAAATAATGGCTAAGTCGGGCGGCGTACTGCGTAGCCGTCTCACCATCAGCTGATTTTCCCGTGCGGAATCTGTCTCAGAAGACTTCCACAGTAAATTTTAATCACTTCAGCAAAGCAACTTTCACTTTTGCATAGCTAGCTGCATTGGTTGGCGTTAGCCTACCGTACGCACTGAGCGCTTCACCACTCAAGCAAGTACTCAAAGGAGTAGCCCATTGATGCTCCGGCTAACTCTGGCTCCGATCAATTGTCTCAAATCTGTGAAGGTACGCGTCAAGGTGATGCTTCCTCTCGTCAAACGCTACGGGTAGTTTGCTTCTGTTAGAGCGGAGGCCATGATCTTCCCGTTCGCTGCTTTCAACTCTATATCTTGGACGGGAGTTTCACTTCGATGTTCCAAACAGATCCGATCGGGTTCCATCTCGTGCTGCCGCTGTCTTTCCCTTTCAGCCATCTTCACTTATCTTTCTTCCTTCAACCTCTCGGCTATCAACCTATCTCTCTCGTATTCAGCAGCTTTTTCCTTCTTGACCCTCTCAGCTGCCAAGCTTTCTCTTTCCGCCGCCTCTTTCTCCTTCTGGCTCACATACTTTCGTAGCTCGGCGCCAGAGAGACCCATCTTCTCACCAAACGCTACTAACTTCTCCAGACCCATGGTACCTGCCAAATGAAATTCTACCCGCGTGCACAAAT